AGTCATATATTTAGAGTAGCTGTTGGAAGAGGTCCTTATCTCTTCCAACCTTCTGGCTCTGGGCTCTTGCTGCCTGTGACAGTTCTTCTCTCTTTGCTTCTCGCTGACATGTGGTATGTTGTGAAAGTGTCTTAGAAGGTGTTGCAGATATTGTAGTTGGTGATATGGCTAGTTTGAAATCTCAGGATATTCCTTTCTGTAAATACATTGGAAGTGGTAGATTCAGTGTTCCATAGACTTACCTGTTTTTTTCACATGGAATCTGTAGAGCTGCCATCAGCCATGAGCAATGTATACAGGAACATGCTTTGCAGACCTTTCTTCTCTTTCCTTCCAGTGTGGTGTTATTGAATGCATTCCTGAGTGCACATCCCGTGACCAACTGGGCAGGCAGACAGACTTTGGGATGTATGATTACTTTACAAGGCAGTATGGAGATGAGTCAACGCTTGCATTCCAGAAGGTAAATACCTGTTGGCCAAGAATAGCAAAAATGTGCCCAGAAAAGTATTCTGCTTCTAAGACTTTCCATTTCATATTTTATTGCTTAATATTGCATATGGTGTCTAATGTTGATAGCCCACATCACAGCTATGATCAGGGGTAGGTGTTGTAGGTTTGGGGTAATGGAGAGTAGTAACTGGAAGTGTGCGCCCTGGACTCTAACCATGAATAGAAAGAGAAACTCTTGACAGAAGAACGTCTTTTTCCCTGGGGTCACAGGACAAACCAGCTCTTCTCTTCTGAACTTGTACCAATTTTTTTTTCTTCACACAGGCTCGCTATAACTTCATCCGCAGCATGGCTGCCTATAGCCTTCTGCTGTTTCTGCTCCAGATTAAAGACAGGCACAATGGCAATATCATGCTGGACAAAAAGGGGCATATCATTCACATTGGTCAGTTGCATCTCCTTGGTCTTTTGTTTGTCACTGCTTCCTCAGTCTCTTGCAGCATACTGTTAAAGAAGTAATTTCTCCTATGAAGTCATTTTCTGTAATTCCAAAATTTCCTTGTGGGCTAAAGGAGTACATTGAGCGATTGTGTTAAATTCTGGGTAAATTCAGCCTTGCAAAATTTTACAAGCCTAAGACAAGTTCTTCTAATTAGCAGGATGCTAGCATAAGTACCATTTGATTTTTACTCTTACGTTGGGTGGTTTTGTAAAAATTTCTTTTGGTTAGTAAGTTTGCCAAATGTGTGTACATGTGTTTTCTCTGGGCTGGTTAAGGACAGGGAAGATCCTGCTTTGAGCAGGATGTTGGCCTTAATTTCCTGTTTAACTTCTCATTTAGATTTGCATTTAAGAAACTCCACTAATGTTTCAGCAAGCAGCTTATTTGATATAATAAGCAGTAAAAGGTCTACAGTTATGTTTCACTCATTTTTCCATAGTAATGCACTCCAGAGCCTTTGGCAAATATTCCTACCACACACTCCTCTGAGGTGTATGTAAAATAGGTATTAGTATGTGAAATCCTATCTCACTGCCTTCTCCAGCTGTAGGTTTACTCTTACCCCCACCAGTAGGGGAGCCAAATAGGAACAGCTTAGTGACTGGTATCTTGATAGGCAGAAATGCCAGGGAGTGCTTATCCTTTTCCAGGCTGCTAAGTATTGTGGTTTGGCAGAAAGATCCTGAGGGGCATTCTGCGCAAGTAATTTGTTTTTACAGTAGCACAACCTAGTAATGGAGGTGGCATAAGGGAAGAAGAGACAGCCTCTGGTCAGACATAGCTAATAAAAGGGACACTTCATACCACTCAGTCTTGGCTACTCTAACCTGATCTCCATAGGGCTGCCCTTGAAATCACATAAACTTTGTCTCTCTTAATAGCTTCTATAGTGAGTGCTCTGTTAACCAACACAATGTTAAATGCTTTGTTTTACGCGTGTGTTTGTGCACAGATTTTGGTTTCATGTTTGAAAGCTCTCCTGGTGGAAATCTGGGCTGGGAGCCAGACATCAAACTGACAGATGAGATGGTGATGATCATGGGAGGGAAAATGGAGGCCACCCCATTCAAGTGGTTCATGGAGATGTGTGTCAGGGGGTACCTGGCAGTCAGGTGAGAACACTGCAAGTCTTTTCTTGTTTGCTCATAAGCAGAGATGGATGCACATCTCTGCTTGTGAGGATAAACAGGAATTAATATCTTTTATTGCTCAGTGAGTTTAAATCACATGCTTATCTGAAGTCTGTCCCCTCTGCGAAGGGAATAATTGCTTCCTCACACACTGAAAGCTTCCCTCAGATAATAGACCGGACACTAGATTCTGAGACTGTGCCTTGGACCACAAAAAACTGAGGTCTTCCCTTGATATGAGGAAGCTGATTTATATTCAGCTGTTTATGGATATGGCCTGAAACTGAGAGGGGAAGATTTCTCTCTCCTAGGCCCAGCCCTGCCCTAAAGCCCATTTCTCTTTCACAGCAGTGTGAGAACCTGTGGTGAGATGACTTAGCTCGATTAAGCTAATACCGTGTATGGACTGCAGTCCCTTGAGTTCTGTCTGCTGATTTTTATTTATTTATGGGGGGGGTGGGGGAGAGAGGGGGAGGGTTTCAAAGTATTTTAAGCGAAAAGAAAGCTACCAAATGGTGGTATCATCACAGAGTGGACTCTGTGATATTAAGAATATAAGAATATAATGTTCTTATAATAATTAAGAATATAATATTCTTAATTAATATAAGAATATAATATTCTTAAAATAATTAAGAGTATAAGAAATGCCATCATTGATCAGACTGTCTCAGTTGCAGAACGGATGCTACAGCGAAGAGTATTTTAACATCAAGACTGATCCATCCTGTGCCCCTCTCCTATATAGTTTTCAGCATTCAACAGCCTAGGAAGTCCTGATTTAGAGGTTACAACCCTAATGTCTAAATTATGTTTATTATCAGGTTTAACACCCGCTGGTGGACCTCTCCTACATTAAGTTGTCTAATCCCCTTTTTGAACCCAGTGTGAATCCAAAATGATTGCTTTAGGGCACTGGTGGTAGGAAGAGGTATCCTAGTTAAAGGGTTGCAGAGGAGTTTGGATTAAGAACAGTATGGTTTCTGATCCAGCTGATTACGTGGGTAAACTACTTTTCCTTTCATAATGGAAAAAAGTACTGTTTTGTACCATCCTCCCTGAGGCTGTTATCCATCTTGCAACATTATGTTTATGTGGCTGCTGAACACAGAGGAGCAAAATTGCCTGTGTCGCAGTAATTTAATTACAGTGACAGATTGCGAGCAGCAGCACAACTCCATCAGCAAACATAAGAGAATTACACTGTGTAGATTTAATTACAATAAAAGGTGTGATCCAGCTCCCAGATGAATTCCTCAGCTTGCTTTCTTTACTTCAAAAAGCAGGAAAAGTTTGAGAACTCTAATGGTCTCTTTGTCATTGTCTCCCACTAGACCCTATATGGACGCTGTAGTTTCTCTGGTTACGTTGATGTTGGATACAGGGCTGCCCTGTTTCCGAGGGCAAACAATCAAACTGTTAAAGTAAGTCCTGTGTTGATCCTTCTCATTTTCTTTTCATCATAGGAAAATTGCCTTTATGGATGCCTGGATTAGGGAGAGGCGGTTGTTCTATGTTATCTAAATCTACCCTGATGTATTTAAAAAAAAGTAGTAAAACTGGTTTTTGTTTCAATGTAGTGGGTATATCTACATGTACATTTTACTCCAGAGTTCACTAATTAGCCCCACAGTAAAGTGTCACAGCCTACATGTGCGTTGATATTAGCACACAGTAAATTAATTAACTCCACTGTAAGATAGTACTGTCAGGGACAGTACTGTCCTATGGCAGAATACTTTACTGTGCTAAAACACAAGTGTAGATGCTGACCAAGTGTATTAATTGCATCTGGTCGGCCCAACCAGCCAAGGGCCCCTGCCAGCACCTCCACTACCCAACACCACCACCCACAGACTAGGACTGACCCCTTGTGCCCCCTGCCAGCCTGGGGCTGCTCTGCCCAGCTCTTAATTGCTGAGGTCCTGGGCACACATGCAGACGTGCCTGAGAGCAGTTTACTCTGGTGTGAACTGTCAGAGTTTATCATGTTACCTTAATAGCATGAATAGATACACCCATTATGTACAGAATGAGTTACATTTAGGTGGGGTAACATCTGTGCAGCTAAATGTTATATTTTCCAGGTTCTTGCATTATAACAAATGCATAATCCTGGAGGAGAGAATCTGCTCGAATAGGGGGAATGTTCCCCACAGTCCCGATTCTTCCCACATATCTTTGAGTTTTACTGGGCACAAAGGGGCCAAGTTTTATTATCTGTCAGTTTTGCTTTATCTTAATACCTGCAGTGCTACACTAGCAGGTTGTGCAAGACCAAATTCTAGTGGGGCATTTAAACACAGACTGCGAACATTTGGACCCCAATGTTAGCCATGCAGCTGCCCTTTCCTACCTACAGACAGGTATCCATTCATCCTCTGTGGTAGGGAGGGGGACTGTGGCACCATTTGAGCTAAGTCCAAAGATGACGTTGGAAGAGCTGCAGCTGAAATGGAAAAAGAGCTTGTGCGCTCTTCTCTCACTGAAAATCCTGCTGTAGTTTTAACTGTCATGGCTTTGTACTGTGAGCACCAGCACAAAGACAAGGGCAGCAGGCAGAGTATCTGCCAGTGTCAGCAATACACTGGATTCTTACCACAGGAGAGAAGCTGCTCAGAACTAGCCAACCCAAGTGCATTACAAAAGTCTATTGGTTTCTCTGCTGTAGTGACCACAGGAGGTTTCACTAAATGTGTGACTTTTTTGTTTTATTTTTCCCTTTCTAATAGGCATAGATTCAGCCCCAATATGACTGAGCGGGAGGCAGCCAACTTCATCATTAAGATCATTCAGAACTGCTTCCTCAGCAACAGGTCTGGCATCTTTCACCTGTCTTCTCCCTACTTCTTCCCTAGTCCGAGATACCAGCTGGTCTTTTCTTGAGTGGAGTAGAAGGTATCCGGTCTGGAACCACTCACTGGTGGCATAGTGTTCTATAGCTCTTCTTCCTGCTTACCCCTTGTAGGAGATACAGCAGTGCTAAGCACAGGCTGTAATGTCTTGCACAAAGTCCTATGGCTTGGCTTAAAGAACATGAGCTTTTGTGTGCCATAGTATAGATCAGTGGTGCCCAAACATTTTCCCTGGTGGGCCAGATTGGCAGGTGGGATCCAGCTGGTAGTCCCAATCTGGTCCCCAGGGTGGGCACAGTGAGGCCCCATAAGGCAACGGGGGGTGGAGGTGGGGGAGAGTGAGGGTGTGGCCCAATCCTGCAAAGGAGGGGGGAGGGAGGGACACAGTCTGGCCCTGAACCAGCCCTGTAGGGGGGAAGGGAGCATAGCCCAGCCCTGTAGGAGGGGCAGGAAGCATAGCCCAGCCCTGACCTGGCCTTACAGGGAGAAGGATGTGGCCCAGCCCTAACAGATGGGAAAGGGAGCATGGCCTAGTTCTGACCTGGTTCCACAGGGTAGTGCCACTGCTCCCTTGCTGCCAAATTTCCTGATCCCTAAGGAGGCCAGATCCCATGGCTCTGCAGGCCATATCTGTCCCATGGGCCAGAGGTTGAGCAACCCTAATATAGATCATAATGACTGCTGGTATTATGAAGCTGGTATATTGCCTTCATCATGGTTAGTGGTTCAAAGAGCAGCCAGACCCCTCACTGTTGCACCTAGCCAGTTGTTCTGTGCTGTGGGGGCAGCGGGAATCCTTTCTGACTTATGATAGGAATGACCATGCCGAAGAATGGTATTGGCTGGCAGCGTTTGCCTGCTTTTCAGAACGAGGGCAAGTGGTGACCTTGGTCCTTAAGTTGCCTTTAGAAAGCTGAGAGCATATTTGCTGAAGAGGCAACAAATACAGCCTATTGGAAAGCTCAGGAGTGATGTGATTTTCTTTCTTTCTTTCTTTCTTTTTTTTTTTTTTTTATTAAATCCATTTTAGCACCTGATTAGTTGTGTATGGCCTTGGCTGGTCTCTTATCCACTGTAAAGTGCAGGGAAAAATCCCTGCTGTCTGTACAGCTAGATGTAAAGCATCATATAAATCCCTGCTGTCTGTACAGCTAGATGTAAAGCATCATATAAGTGCCATATTCTTTAAAGAGACAGTTCAGAAAAATCTTTTTTCTGGAACAGTTCCTGTCTTTCCACCCAGCTTTTCTTTGTGATTCTATATTGCATTAGCACATCAATTCTTACTGGGCCACTTACTGCTCTGTATATGCTATTTGTAACATCATACCAGCTCAGGAAAAGAGAAGATCACCTTGAGGAATGAAGATGACAGGTTGGCATCTGGGCTCTCCAAAGCCAATTTGTCTGGGCCTGGTTGTCTAAGGGTATGCTATTGAGCGTACTGGCTGGAAGGAAGCAGGGTGCTGTATACATAATAAGCAGTTTGAAAATCAGCATGTTGGATAGCTACCCAATGGATTGTGTTCCTGCCTTTCTAGTCCATCCTATCCATGCTTTAGAGAGCAAATGAAATTTAAATGCAGAACGTGTATTTAGCTCCTGTCATGAAAGCTGACATATTTCATGACCCATCCATGGCTACTATTTGACTTCCCAGATGGCATGTGTCATAAGCATAAGAGCAGTGCTCATATTTGCTGATTTGTTTATTTCCCTGTTACTTCTCTCATTCTTGTATTTCCAGTCTTTCCTGTACTTACCTTTTTAGGTTACTTAGATATTTTTTCTTTTTTTATGAACCTGTCCCCGTTCAGTTCTATCAGTGTTACTTAAGTATTGCTTTCCCCTATGTGGAAGAGATCCCGTCTGATTTGGTTAGGGAGCTCCTTGTGAGTCTAAGCACTGAGATGTTGTGCTGCACCACACAGCTGTGAGATAAGTGCAGCCTTTGTCATATTTCTTGCTTTCCAAAGAGGCAGGGAAGTTACCTATTCTTGCCAAAGAATACTAAATGGCTCGGAACCAGGTGTAGCTCATCCGAGTTGGTAAAAGGTAATGCCTATAACGTTAGCAAAGTCAGTCTCCCTGGTTGAGACTACTGCTCTTGTTACTCTGGTCCCCCAAACAATTGAGGACAGATTCTCTCAAGTTAGTCTTAGCAGTCACTAGCACTTCCAACTATAGTGTGGTCTTATAGCTTCCACTTAACAGAACTGAAATCAGTTTACAGCAGAAGGAAGAGAGCGTATGAACTGCTTATTAAAACAAAGGATCTGAAGACCTGTTCATGCAATGGTGAAATCATGCAATGATTCCTTTCCTTACTGCCAGCTGATGGGCACCAGGGGCAGACAGGCTACTGTAGCCTTGTTTTCACAATGGCTTCCAAATGGAGGTCTGGCTGTGATTAGTAGTTAACATCCTCTGTGCATCTTGCCTTTCATTTGGGGTTTCTTTTTGGCAATGGGTCTGTCAGTGGATGCAGTTCTCTACTCCATTGCATTCACTTGTGGTGTCTTTTTTTCTTTTTTAGGAGTAGGACCTATGACATGATCCAGTACTACCAGAATGACATCCCATACTGAGGATGATCCTGGGGAAATAAATACCTGTAACCCAGAACCGCATCTCCAGACTAGTAATAGGAACTGTTCAGTCACCTCACTATCTCCAGTCTGCGTGTGTGTGTGTATGTGTGTGCGTGAGTACAAACTTACCGGACAATGCAACAATCAATGAATCCGATTTGTTCCTTTTTACTGGGATGTATATTTTTCCGTGGTTTCCTAGGAGTTGGTTTTCTAGGAGTTGGCTGCAATCATCACTGAAAATCCCACTGTGGTTATGAATGTGTAAGTCAGCTAAGCTGAAGCTGGGAAGAGTGGCGGTGTTCACACAACACAAGGATTTTATAGCAAGTTCAGTAAAAAAAAACTTCTAATGTATGATCCAGGTGAATCTCATGGAAGTGAGTGGTTTGGAGTTCTCCCTTGGAGCAGTGAAGACTTGTTGAATTGATCTAATTTATACTGTAGAAAAAATAATGATAATCGTCCAAGGTGGTGATGGGTAATTGCATCCATGTTAATAGTTTGCACTGTATATGGTCCCTGCTCCATGGTCAGTATTTCATACGTACATGAAGAATGTATTTTTTCTTTTGTGTGTTTTAAAAAAGACTCTACTGAAGATATATTTAATCTATAAAATGTAATAAAAAGACTTTAGACTTTAGTATACCTGTGCTGCTAATCCTTTTGAAGTTGGCGCTCTGTTTACTTAGGGGCTACATGCAAGAAAAGCTCCTTTGGTCTGGTTCAATACATCCGTCTGCAGATTCACATAGTTGTTGCTGTCCATTTTTACTGGGATTATTTTCCCACCTACTTACCAGACTCATTCCTTCTTCAGATTGGAATATGTTTGTTTTTTTTAAATGGCAGATTATGGCTTCTATGATTATATTGTCTGTGCATGGTTTTCACCCCGAGCTTCAAATCCCTAGCCTGACGTAAGTGGAGCTCCCAAAGTGTTTGAGGACAATGGAGTCCTGCAGGGCAGTGGGAGCTTGTAGGGTCAGAAGCATTCCCAAGGTCATCATGCAATTTAACTCTGTGGCCTTGAAAACTTCCAGCCAATTCCTTTCTTTCTATTCTGGCTGCTCAAAGTCATTCTTGCTTTGAGTGCTAGCCAGGTTATGTCCACACAGGCTGACAGTGCTTCTGTCCCCCTAAATGGACAATTAGCTAACCAAGGACACTGTTCCCCAAGGTGTCACAGTGTACATCTGGCTTCTCACTAGCATGTTAGCTCTCCAGGCTCACAGTTATACACTCAGTCCCAAGTTATCCCATCATATAATTTGCATATGCAGGAGCCCTGCTAGATACAACTCTCTTTGAATCTGCCCCAGGACAAGATCCAGCCAGAAAGAACAGACTAGAGCCAGCAGGGGAAAGCTTAAGCCTTGTTGCACACAATGGGTGTAATGGCAACACCTGTGCTGGGGCATGTGGATGCCACTCCACAAAGGGATAGGGGAGGGTCTAACTGCCTTGTCCCACCTGTTACCAACGAGCAGGCTAAGAACAGCTACTAAAAAGGCTCAGGAAAAATGGAGGCAGCTATGAAGAAGGCAGAGCCTTCTGGGCTACAGACTGGCAGAAGCTGACAAAACAGGAAAGGTAGGTGAGGTGGCACTGAGGGACCAAAAGAGCTGTCCTTCCTATGGGGACCAGAGATATGAATGGATCTGTGTTCCCCTACTAGCCTTTTCCATGAGGGGAAGCAATGGCCCTGAAAGGAAAAACCTAAGGACCAATAAACCCCACACTGGGGAGAGGCCTGAGTCTGGGCACATGTGGGATCTGGATTTTACATGATTATCCTGAGAGCAACAAAACCTAAACAGTGCAGGCAGAAAAGTGCCTGGTGCCAGAAAGCCTGGCCGCCTGGGCTCACTATGGACATGAACTGAGCCCTGTGGTATAAAAACAGAAAAGGTTTATTCAGGTTTTTCGCCTTGCTTGTCCAGTTGTTGCTGTTTTAATATTTCTTTCACTTTGGGGATGTTTCCCGAGCTGCTGGCTGTGGGGGTGAGAGCACTAGCTCAGTGGTGCCTGTAGAAAAGGAATAGTAGCCTACCTCATAATTCTTCATCTTTCAGATATATGGTCCTGCCTAGAACAAAAATAAGCTTTCAGCCACTTCTCATATACTCCAACACACCCTCCCCTTCCTTCTCCACTTCCCTGATCAAGGGGTCCAGGCAGAGCCCACCAGAGCAGTCTGGAGGCTGCTCTCACTGCTGCTCTGATGCCCAAGCTCTTGTAACTGGAGCAAAATTCAGGCAGGGTCAGCACTGAATAAAGTCATGTCCCCTGGTCTCTCTGTGTGCTGTGGTGGTTTGGGAACCCATATGCAGCCTGTGGATCCTGGCTGGTGCTGTGGAGTGTGCTGTAGGAGCCTGTCTCAAGCTTTGCTGACAAAGGTGCTTAGCATGCACTTGTACTTCCCTTAGGGTCGGCAGTGGAGGGCCTCGCCAGCGGGGGAAGCTTGGCCCAAAGGCCACTCCAGCCTGAGAAACTGGGTTTCTCTTGCCTGTCTGCCAAGGCTTGCAGTTGGAAGAGCAAAGAGTTACTAAACATAGAGTAAAGCAGTCAAGGTCAGTGGGGAGAAAGGGAGCACATGACCAGACTTGCAGAGACCAGGGCAGGATGGAGCGGGAGTGACAGTCAAGTTTTTGTAAGAGGGGACTTGCTTCAATAGTGCTACCAGCTAGGGTCAGAGAAGCTAAGTAAACTCATGAGCGGCAAAGAAAGGTGCAGGGCTACCCCAGGAACCTGCTTCGCGCAGTGAGCAGGCTGAGGCAGAAACACGGGTGCGGGGCCCTGTGGTAGTTTCAGAAGCTCTGTCTGAACAGCTAAGCCAGCCCCCGAATACCCATATAGACCTAGGATTTGGATGTAGAATCAAAGCAGCCTGTAAATGAGAAAGTGAAGCAATACTGCATATGGTGCTAGTGGGAAAGTAGAAGGAAAACCAGGGAAAAAGATGGTTTTGGTAGATGGGGAAGGGGATGTGTGCATGCATGTGTGTTTACATACTTGCACTTTTGCCACCTATGAGAGTTATAAATTTAAATCTAAAATTCAAGCTAAATTTTGCCTGGTTGCTGTAAATTGTTCTAAAATGTTGGTCGTGTTTGACTTAATGGTTGTGTGAACTGAAACACCAGCACTAGCTAAAATAGCCACATGCAGCATGAGAGGAGCTGTACCCCTCATCGAGGGTGAAATCACTTGTTCGGGGAAACTCAACTGGCTCCACATAAGCAGATGCATCTCAGGAAGGACCAAACTAGAACAACTAACTTGTACCTTGGCCTTGGTCCTCCATGCTGCTTGCCAAAGGGGCCCAAGAGCTTACCCCTCCACTCTGCCCGATGTGATTTGGAGGTGAAACACAAGGGTTGATTTTTTTTTTTTTTTTTTTTTTTTTTTTTTGGATCTAGTTGACCCCGTCCTCTCTTCAGGAAGGCCAGCCACCAGCTTTTCTCTGACACTGGCAAGACCTCCATCTCAAGAGACAGAACCAGTGATCTACCCCTCTGATCTTCCTTTCTTGAAGGACGATGCAGCAAGCAGTCCTCAAGTTTCCCTCATGCTTTTCAGGACAGTGTTTGCCTGGGGTGTAGCAGTCTGCTGACCTGGCTGGCTAGGACAAGGGTCAGTTGAAACACCAGCACTCTGACAGTTTTTGACCTGCACAGCTCAGTTGCAGCACGTGGCCCCAGTCGGGGCTTGGATGGGAGCCAGGACTAACATGGCACTTGTCCGTCAAGGCAGAGCAAGCTGATGTCTGACTGGGACTGGGGCAAAGCTCAGTCCTGTTATCCTAGGGCCTGCGTTCTGAAAAAACATGCTTTCCTTGGCAGCTCTGCCAGTGGCCTGCTAGATGGCCCACAACCTCTGTGTGACGCATGTAGTATGGGGATACCAGTCCTAGCCTCTGTTTGGACAGCACTTTAGGATCTGCTGATGAAAAGTGCAAGACCTATAGAGTCGGAAGGGACCTCAGTGGACCATCTAGTCCGACCCTCTGCCCCTGGCAGGCAAGAAGAATCACCAACCCTGGGGTCCTGTGATCCCAGCCAGGTGCCTGTCCAGTCTCCTCTTGAAGACCCCCAAGGATGGGGCGAGCACCACCTCCCTTGGGAGCCCGTTCCAGATTCTGGCAACCCTGACCAGGAAGAACGTTCTCCTAATGTCCAGCCTAAACCTTCTCTCTAGTAGCTTATGGCCATTGTTCCTTGTTGGTCCAGGGGGTACCCTGGTGAACAGATCATCACCTACTTCATGTTGCTCTCCCCTTATGAATTTGTACGCTGCCACAAGGTCCCCTCTCAGCCTTCCCTTGGAGAGGCTAAAGAGGTTAAGGTCCCTTAGCCTTTCCTCATAGGGCCTTCCCTGCGGGCCTCTTATCAGGCAAGTGGCTCTTCTTTGGACCCTCTCCAGGTTGTCCACATCCCGTTTGAACTGCAGCATCCAGAACTGGGCACAGTACTCCAGCTGCGGTCTGACCAGTGCCGCATACATGGGAAGAATCACTTTCCTGGACCTGTTTGTGAAGCACCTACGGATGCACAACAAGATGCGATTGGCTCTGCCAACTGCTTCGTCACATTGGCGACTCATGTTCATCCTGGAGTCAACAGTGGCTCCAAGATCTTTTTCTGCCTCAGTGGAGCGGAGAAGGTCGCCCCCAGCCTGCAGGTATGATGGCAGTTCTTCCCTAGATTCAGCACCTTGCACTTGTCCTTATTGAATTGCATCCTGTTGCTCTCTGACCACTTCCCTAGCCTGTCTAGGTCAGCCTGGATCTGGTTCCTCCTCCCCAGGGTGTTAGCTGCACCCCATAATTTTGTGTCGTCCATGAATTTGGACAGGGTGCTTCCCACCCCCTCATCCAGATCACTGATGAAGATGTTGAACAGCACCAGCCCCAGAACTGAGCCGAGGGACTCCACTGCCCACATCTTTCCAGGTTGACACCGACCTGTCCACTACCACCCTCTGAGTGCGACCCTTGAGCCAATTTGTTATCCAGTCTACCATGTAATCATCCAAGGCAAATCCTCTCAGTTTATTTATAAGGATGATATGGGATACCTTGTCAAAGGCATTCTTGAAGTCCAGATAGATAACATCCACCTTGACTTCTGCATCTAAACAATTGGTGGCCTTGTCATAAAAGGAAACTAGGTTAGTCAGGCAGGACCTGCCTGCTGAAAACCCATGTTGGTTATCCCTCTGCATCACATTAGCCAGCGGGCTCCCCCAGATTCGCTCCTTGATCATTTTTTTTTCTAGGATTTTCCCAGGGGTAGAAGTAAGGCTGACTGGTCTATAGTTCCCCGGGTCCTCCTTCCTCCCCCTTCTTAAAGATTGGGACGATGTTAGCCCTCTTCCAGTCCTCCGGGATCATGAGCGCTCCTATGTCCTTACTAGTGGATCAGCTATGACCCCCGCTAATTCCTTCATTACCTGTGGGTTGAGTCACTCTGGTCCTGGTGATTTGAATATGTCCAGTCCCTCCAAGTGTCTTTTTACTGTGTCAGCACTGACGGTTGGTCGGCTGATGTCCCTTTGTTGGTGTCTGTGATGTATGTTGAGGGTTTGTCTAGATTCCCATGGAAGAAGACAGAGGCAAAAAACTCACTGAA